TCGTTTAGTGGCTTGGAAGACGGAAAAGCAGGGGCTTGTTTTCTGGTTGATGGTGGATTGCAGGTGGCTGACGACCCGGGAAGGAATCGAAGTTAAGAATTTTGTGAAAATTGTCGAAGGAATAAAAGTCGTGCAATGGGAGAACAACAAAAATAGACAGATTGTGACTACAAGGGAGAATAGTTAACAGTTTGCCAACCTTAACCCGAGGAAGAAGATATGCAAGGTAAACTACTATTCACTAAAAGTGATGGAAAAGAGAACGCTAAGGAGCACTGAGCATTGTGGTTGCTGGAGCTCAAACCGAGAAGACTTTGGACGTGGCCGAGGTAGAGGTCGGGGGTCCGGGAAAAGTCGGGATGGTGGACAGTTTCAACGGGAAAAGAGTCGCATTAGGTGCTTCAAGTGCAATGAGTTGGGGCATTTTTTGAACGAATGTCCAAAATGGGATCAAAAGGAACACATTGCAAATTTGATTAAAGATGATGATGAACCAACGTTGCTGTGAAGATCAGTGTGAACAAACAACGATTAGGGGCGTGATTGTTAGATATAATCGGGTTTGTTCGCATATAACCGAATGGGTAATGAGTCAATGTTCGGGTCAGTTAGTATAGAGTCAAATAGTGTGGTGTCGTTTAGTGTGTTTTACATATTTAATTAATTAAAAAAACAGTGGGTAGTTTCTAAAAGGCAGTTATGGGTAGTTTCTATTGTTAATAGGTGTGTTGGTTTGTAATAGTTGTGTTGGTTAGTAAAAGTCATGTTGGTCTGTTCTCTATTTATATTTAGAGAACACAAATAATCCTGTACAGTTTTTACATCAATAAAATATTCTACTTTGCTTTGATTTGGTCGGTTGGTCCTTTCTAACAATCGCTGCTGATAAGTTTTCATCTTTAAGATTTTGATTGTATATGTTGCGGTCTCCTCTCTTACTTCAGTTTTGTAAGTGCGTTAGTGTGTGCGTCTACTGTGTCTTATCTTTCGGTTTTTTTAAAAACATTTTTTTGTAAGATGCTTTTAATATTTTATGCTCCAGTTTTTTTTATGTGCCTGAGTGCATCTACTGTGTTTATGCATTCGCTGTTTAATTTTTCATTATTTTCTTGTTACATGATTTAATATTTTATGTACACCAATTATTATGTATGTTGCACAAAACGACATATGGGTTGCCGTATGCGTCTCAGAGACTTTGGAAACGCTAAAATGCGTGGGAGACGGCTCTAAACGTCACGTCTTCGGGACAGCAGCTGGTGTTTCTGTAATAAAAAATGTTAATTGCTCCTGGAAACGTTGGGGAAACCCTTTTCAAACCGCGCGAGATTGAGAGAAGATAAAGTTTAAGAAGATAGGAAGAAGACAAAGACAAAATTGCGAGAGATGAAGACAAAGCTAGGAAGAAGACTTACATCTTCCTCACCGATTCATTGTCCCAGGCCATCGACTCTTTTAGATCTGTCTTCTCGTCCCTTTGCTGGAACGGCTTCCTCCGAAGTCCGAACCCATCACTCTCTCTATCTCTTTGTCATTTAGCCATTTAGGTTAAATAATTTGGGCTGGGTTCATTAAAAGACTATTGGGCTTTTACACATAGGGTCTGTTTGGTACACGGAATTGACGAAATTGGAATTGAATTGTAGTTGAATTGGAATTAAAATTCTATGAAATTGAATTGGATGAAATTGAGTTCACAAATTCCAATTCATTTTTTGCACTACCAATTCCAAATCTACATATTTCTGTACTACCCAACAATAGAATTGGAATTGAAGTCTCTAATTTCAAAATAGCTGTCTTGGCGTCTCCGTTTATGTGCTACATAGCTTATTACTATAATTTTTTGTATATGTTTCTTTAATAAGTGATTCAATGTCAAATGCAAAATTGAATTATGGGGTAGACTCAACACCCGATAAGGAGGAAGCAAAGAAGTTGAAGTATTAAGTTTGTGTTGTGTAACTTTTGTTAGAAAGATAACAAATGAGAGATTATTAGATTTAAACATCATCTTGCCAGCTCAAGAAAAAATGCAGCTTAATGTCAAAAATTGGTCCCGAAGATGTAAAACAAGAGATGTCCGCTCTACTAAAATTGGCCAATCACACAATGAAAATGTGTAGAAGAAATCCAAGGCTTATACATAGAGAACTTTGAAAGTTGATGCCAAACACCTAACCAAAAATAGTTGCTTCTTCTCAATATGACCGTTGGAATTTTACCACCAAAGTATAGGGACTTAGTTTAGAGTCAAGAAGTTGCAATTTATGTTTATGAGTGACTTATCCATGGAACAACTTTAGAACCAAAATAAGGTGAATGGAACTTCTGCATCAAAGTTTCCCTCCTTTCATTATCAACGTTGATTTGTATTTTTAGTAGTCTAGCCTTTTTTCCCATGGCTCTTTACATGTCATTCGTGTGATATGAAATAAGTTGATAATAAATGGTCTTATTTCTTCAACCACTAGAATAAGTTTGGTATATATTAGTTTTGTTTAGCGGTTAAACCCCAAATTGAAAAAACTGAAGACGCTCAAAGGAGAGGGTGAGATGTATGTTATTTCTAAAAACACTTGTCCTCCCTAACCCTGACACACAATAATTAGATTTCTTCTATTTAAACATTATTGCATGTTCATTTGAATTATTAATTTTATAATATTTGAGTCGGGGGTCTCTTGGAAAACAACCTCTCTACTTTCGAGTAGGGGCAATGTCTGCGTACACACACCCTCCCCACACACCCTCCCCAGATCCTACTCTTGTGGAATTCTCAACTGGGTTGTTAGAGTATTTGTATGGCTGAATACATGGAATGTTGAATTATAATGGAATGTTGGATAATTTTGAATTATCCAAAGTTTTCAAACTGTGTATAACTAAGACTAAATACATTGAATGTTGTTTTAGTGACGAGATTACAAAATTAGAGGTGAGAATTAGGATTGATTCCCACCTAGTGCTCACGGATGACAACTTTTGGAATCTTGGTTCGGTCATTCATGTGGATGGGGATGATGTGCACCGTGTTGGAGCGGCTTGGGCAAAGTAAATGTTGGCTTTAGGGGCTTTGTGCAATAAGAAGATTTTGGTTATGATGAAATGTAAGTTCTATCAGTCCGTAGTCATACCAGCTATGCCGTATGGTGCGGAGTGTTGGGCAGTTAAGAACACCCACATTCATCGGCTGCATGCTGCAAAGATGCTGATGCTGCCGTGGATGAATGGAAAGACGAGGATAGATAGGATTCAAAACGAGGTTATTTGAGGGCAGGTAGGAGTGGCAACGGTGGAGGATAAGTTGCGGGAAGCTAGGTTCGTGTCGTTTGAGCATGTGAAGCCGCACTGCGGAGGTGGGAGAGGCCTACAGTGGTGGGTGAGAGTAGGGAAGGGGAGACCTAGGCAGAATCAAAAGGAGGTGATGTGACATGACCTAAGACTTCAGATCCTTGATGACGATATGCACTTAGATAGGAAATTTTGGAGAGGTAGGATTAGGATAGTTGGGTAGGCGTTTTAGTTTGGGTGGTGGTTTTCTCACTTATTGTTGTGTACTTTTTATGTTTGGTGCTTTCTACTTGCTATGCATTTCTTTCATGAATATTAGCTGTTCTTGGTTTTTTTGTGCTTCTCTGGTTTATGTGTATTATGTTTGTATTATGTGAGCTTGTGGCATCTATGCTATTTGCGTTTCTTGAGTCGGGGATCTCTTGGAAACAACGTCCCTACTTTCAAGTTTGGGTAAGGTTGCTTACACACACCCTTCCTCCCTATACCCTACTCCCGTGGGATTCAATTGGGTTTTTGATTTATTTTTGAAATATGAAATTTGCACTTCTTATTTCTATACATATTTGTAAATGAAATCATTTTAAAAGAGATGAGATTATACACATTTTTCAAAGTGAGATAATTTTTTTTGAGACGGAGGGAGTATAAATAATCAAGAATTTTTTTTTTAAAGTGAAATGCTTATAAACTATTTAATTAATTGTACTAGTAAAGAGTTATGTCCTTAAGTATTTTAACTTGATACTAACAATTATCTTTTTTGGGATTTACACAAAATACGAACATGATACATTTATCACCAACACGGTCCAATGTATGTTATCTGCTCTCCACAAATTGCTAAAGAAAAACAAGGCAAATGTGTTCATGTAAGTTTAAAAGGCTGTATGTTATGATGTGACTTTCATAATTTCAATACCTGTTTTGTGTACATTGAATTGCATAATTACATGCTTATGATCAAATATAATGGTCTTTTACAATGTGCATAATTGAAGTCAGACTTATGTTATGCAACATACCAATGGCTGAATCATAGCTCAAGAGAATGAGAAAGTTACACTCTGATTTGGTAGATGTGTGATATATATTTTACACTTCTACTTGTTCTTTTGAGTCTTCACACCAACAAACTTTTTCCGATCCATGTATAATAGGACGTAGACCTGTCAAAAAATGGCCGACCTATTTTTGACCCGAGACCCGACCCAAAAACATTGGGTTTTGAACAAAAGTTTTGTTCACCGAACCTGAAATGACCCGCTAAAAAAGGGTCAAACCCAACAGGACCCAAACCCAACCTGACAGACCCACTAATGCAAGAGTTTTTTCAAATCATATATGAAATATAATGTTATAAAAATAAGGTTGTACTTATAATTTTTTCTCACAAATTTTTAGTGTATAAATTTAGATTTTCAGACAATTTTAATGATATCGCATAATTATCTTACGTTTTTCTAAAACTTGTTCAAAAAGTTTTTTTATTCGTAATATTGATTTATTTGTCTAAAAATTACTTAAAAATTCAAAAGTAAAATAATCTAATAGCTTTAATACATTTTTTTTTTGAAATTTTATTTTTATTCATAGCAAAATGCAAGTGTTAATATGAATTCAGAAATTTTTAAAATAAAGGTCATACCGTGTTGAGTTGACCCAAATCCGATGACACTAGGTCCTGAACATGCAGTTCTCAACCCGAACCCAAAGAACCCAATCCTCGAAGTGACCGAACCCGACCTAACCGACCGAGATGCCAGCTCTAATAGAACGCCGGTTTTTGCATATAAACAAGTTTATGCCTACAGAAAGATATCCATCAAAATCTGAAAAGAAATAGAAGACTTTCTCTGGTTTTAGTGCTGGGCCACTGGCACATTGCATGAATGTTTGTTTCCTTACTATCACGTAAGACTTGTGGCAATCTCCAGTAAACAGTAGTCCACTTTTCAGTTTTTCAGTCATATATTGCATTCTTATCTATTGCAGGGATGTCATTGAGCTTAGAGAGGCCTTAAAAATGAAAGAAGGGGAGGCAGAAACATTCATATCCGAGATGGAGGTGCATCTATGTTTAAAGTCTAATTGTCATTACTCTCTTTAGAAAAAGTAGGCAAAGAAAAAAAACAGGTTTACGGGATCAAAGATTATGATATTTTCTTCTTAATAGACAAGTTTGACTGTTATATGTGCTGTTTCCCACCTATTCTTGTTGCCAATCTATTTATATCAGACTATTGGTCAAGCTTATGAAGACATGCAGAACCAAAATCAACATCTGTTGCAGATGATGGCTGAAAGAGATGAACTCAATATCAAGGTCAGCGTTTCGGTACTTTTATTGGTTTCCGTTTCTCTTTCATCCTGTCTAGTCATGTTTCCACTAAGGCGTAAAGTGAGATGCTACCTTTAGAGCTGACCTCTAAAAGTATTTTCTACAGCTGGTCTCTACGAGTGTAAAGACAAAACAGTCACAGAGCTTATTATTCTCTGAAAGACATACATTGGACAAACAACTTCAAAATTCTAGAACAACTCTTGAATCTTTGAAAATAAAGGTTGCCAAGTGTGAGGAGCAGGTATGTGTATTCTTATTATTTTGGATTCAATAGTCTCCTTATGCTATAGAATGTTTAATTTTACCAATGTGTAACCTTGCAGATGAAAGGTTATATTATGGAAGCATTATGTTCTACTGAAGAAGACAGACATGTTGCAGTTTCCCTGGAGACTGTGAAATGGGAAGTGATGGATGCTGAGAAGGAATTGAAGTGGTTGAAAACTTCTCTCTCATCTTCACAGAAGGAATATGATCAGATCCAGCGTAAGATCGATCAAATACAGACAGAACTTGTCACAGAAAGGTTACTGTGATTTATTTATTTATACTTATTTGACCACTTTCCTTACAAAAGCAACTGGTCCCAGCTCAGGATAAGGGTTGAGATGGGCCTGTGAGTCTGTGACAACCAACATCAAACCTTATCACATCTTATGACATGAACCATGATAGGAATTTTGTCAGGGCGTCCATACACAACAACGTGCTATACTTTCTTGACCTGAGTGTAGTGATGAATGGGCAACAGTTGCCAGCTTGTCGCCCGTAAGCGACTCAACATGTCTTCACCTGGACGTGGTGCCAAGAAGGCAAGGGTTCCCACAATTTGGATGAATGCAGGTAAAGAACTTAGTCAATGGTGGTAGGTTTCATTTGGGTTTGTGGAATGTTGGTTCTTTGATGGTGGATTCACTGAATTAGTGGAGGTCATGACATGGAGGAGCAATATTTTGTGTCTTTAGTAAATTAAGTGGGTTGATGATAGACAAAGAAAAGGTGATAGCACATTTGGATACAAGCTTTGATACTCAGGTAAGGAGAAGAGTGAAAACGGTGTTGGAATTATAAATGACCACAAGTTGGTGAATTTCATGGTTGAAGTGCAGAGGAAGAATGATTGGTTATAAGTAGCGAGAGCCGAGATGGTGATAAGTGATGACATTGTCAATATTATTAGTACTTATGCACCTCAAATAGGTTTATATACTGCAGTAAACCACTAATTAGCAAAAAATGCAAGGTTACACATTGGTAAATGAAACCGCTGGATTATGATGTCTCCTTTTGGATTTTTTTGCTAATTAAAAATGAATAATCCAGCAGCATGATGATGACTCTCCCATATGAGAGGTCACAGGTTCGATCCACAGTGGGGGTAATAAGTCTACGTGCTTATTGCTTAATGGGTTGAGAATGTATGAACACATACTACATTATAATAGAGTTATTAGTGTTTAAAAAAAAGAAAAAAAAGGTATTGCAGTAAACCAACACTCCTGAAGGGTATGGAAGATGTGATACAAAGAATAGCGAGTAGTGAAAATCTTTTCATTGGACGGGATCTGAAAGGACATGCAAGATCAACTTGATTTTGGCATCAAAGCATACGTAGAGGTTTCACTTTTGAAGACAGAAATGAAACACGTAAGGATATTTTGGATTTCACTTTATCGTATGATTGAAGATGTGGATGTGTTATCACACAAATGCAGACAACAACAAACCCTAACCAAAACTTCGTTGGGACCTGGGAGGTCAAGATGTACGCAACATTAGCCTTAGTTGATCTGGGATGGGTGCGGGGACGTATACAGGGATGGAAAACAGCATTTTTAAAAATTACAAGGTGTGGCTACAGCAAGGATACAGTCTAAAGAAAATAATAAACCACTACAAATAGAATTGTAAATGAAAAATGCAATTATTCATTCTTAAATAGCAAACAAATCCAAATGCATAGCCATATAACAAAATAGTGAATGCTACAATAAGTATCTTGTTTAAATTTACCAATGGTGAATAGTACCAAAAGTATCAAATAAAGTTCTTATGGTGCAATGTCGTTGACTCTGTAGCATCTGCTTCATTTTTTTTAACAGAGAAAATTAATATTGACAGTTAGACACTTTATCTTCCAAGTACAAATGTACAATTTTAAAATACTTTGACAAAAAAGCATTAAATATGGAAATGGTAAAAGATGCAGTTTGAAGAGAAGACAATGTGTTTGGATCCAGTAGACAAAGATGTGAAGTATAGAAATTGTAGGAGAAGCAGTTTGAACGTTGGAGAGAAGTGTACATGTTGGCTTCATTGACTAGAGTCCGTCACTCATCCGCAAGTCTAGAGAAGCAAGAACTCACAGACAACTGTTAGAAGAAGGAAGAACTGTGTAACTGTATGTCGAATCTAACGGGTTTAGGGCCTGTGCTTTTTCTTATATGGACAACCCTAATACTGAAAACAAAAAAATAAAAACAATAATAAAAACAAACTGGGGGCACGGGTCAAGCTTGGGATCTGAACCCTAAATCCCCTCGAAATTCTCCTTTCCATATTGCCCTGTACTCATTGACGAATCCTTCCAGCATAGCCAATTCTAAATCTGCAATAGCCGTCCCCGTACCTGCGACAATTCTAGAGAGGTAAACAGTCCCAAATTGCCGTCCCATGCAACTTACACCTCTGCCCTTCAGAAAACAAAGAGGCTATCTCCGTTGGATTCATGACTTGATGCATGTACTGCCCAAGATTCCATAGAAAGTAAGAGACAATGGAATTTTAATGTGGCATTTTGATTTAGTTCATTATTTACCTGAAGCAAACACATTGTTCAATATGACTCTTTTTAGCTCTATTGGCAATGGAAGCCAACAATATAGAGTGTTAGTGCTTGATTTTCATTTAAAAAGAGGTTAAGAAAAGGAAACTAGTACTTGACTCAAAAATCAAATGGTGGCTTTTGCAAGGGGAAGAGAATTATTATTTTTTGCTTAGAATATTCTTTGGATTTATTCACACCCAGTGCCTAAGAGACAAATTTTCGTGTCTTGGTTCAGTCATTCAGGTGCATCGATATATAGACGATGATGTTGTTCATCGTATTGGAGTCGTTTGGGCAAAGTGGAGCGGGCTGTAGAAGTCCTATGCGACAAGATGTCATTGGCTAGGATGATGGAGAAGTTCTATCGGTTTGTAGTCATATCGGCTATGCTTTATAGAGCAATGTGTTGGGTGGTTAAGAAAAGTGATGTTCGCCAACTTCATGCAGCAGAGATGCAGATGCTGTGGTGGATGTCTGGCAGAGGAGGTTGGATATGATTTGGAACAAGGTTAGTGGCACTTGTGGAGGATAAGCTGCGTGAAGCTAGGTTGAGGTGGTCTAGACACGTAAATCGGAAAGGTGTAGGGCTTGGAGGTCGTTTAGGGGATGCTCTTCAATGAAATTTTAAGGGTGAAGAAGATGCCAACACAATGGAGAAAATGTGCTTTGATTCCTCTATACATTAATAAAGTCATCGTTCAGGAATAGTCAAGCTACCATGGAATTAAAATCATGTGTCTTACTATGAAATTTTGGGTGAGGGTAATTTAACATAGTTGAGAAAGATGAAACGGGTTTCAGATTACCAATTTGGTTTTATACCATGTTGTTCAACTACAGAGGCAAACCCTTTTTTAGCCAATTGATGGAGAAGTATAGACAAAGAAAAAAGGACTTCCACATGATAGGCCGCATAAAGGACACGTGTGATTGCTGAGTTAACACAAATGTAAGAAGCAGCCTAAGAATGACAATATGACATAGGGCTTTCCTGTTGCTACCGGAGTACATCAAGCATCAACATTTAGCTCATTCCTGTTTACAATGGTTTTAAATGAGCTAACTAAGGCTATACCAGATGATTTGCCTTGTGGAATGTTGCTTGGTAATGGTATTTTCTTGACAATTGAGATGAGCAATGTTAATGTGGAGTTAGAAATGTGCAGGAAGAAGCTAGAGTGTGGTTATGGAAAGAAGAAAATAACGAGAGGACACTTTTTTGAATGACCAAACATGGTTCTCTTCTTTGTTTGTGTAGCTGACCCCAAGTTACTTGGGTTAAGGCTTAGTTGATTTATTTGATTAGTAGGTAGTAGGTTTTATTAAATCTTCTGTGTCTTACTGTGGATACGTGGGATTTTTTATGTTGATCATTATCAAATAATTATAGTATTGAATCCCACGGGTCAAGAATCTCCCTGTGAGTATGTTGTAAGCTTCTAGGATTTTGTTGTTCAGTTCTGAGATGCATCTTATTTAATGCTCAGGTTTTGGCTTTTTAACCAATGAACCTGAGACTAATTTTATTATTTTGTTCAAACAGAAGTGAGAAGACAAAACTTGATGAAGAGCTAACAGACTTGAATAGAATTTTTACTGGGTTAACTTCTGAAAGCGGTGAAGCTGCAATACTGAGACTCCAGGAAGAAATCAATGACTGTAAAGCTATTATCAAATGTGGTGTCTGTAGTGATCGTCCCAAAGAGGTATTCACATACGTTCATTTATAATATGGAAATAGTACTGTGTAATTCTAACTGCACCCTTGGATTACACGAACATATAGGTTTCATTGAGAAAGAAAGGAATTCACTGAAATGAAATCCTTTTGGGGAGGTAGATACTCGACCATTCGGTGGTGGTGGTGTCTTTATAATCTGAGTTCCACCAATTTTATATAATTTAAAACAATCATTACTGCAATAGTGCGATATATTTTACAATTCATATACTGCTACATTTGTTTTTTGCCCAAATTGTCAATTCATGAGTTTGTAATCTGGACAAACAAATTGCTACTCCCTCCGTCCTGCAATAATGTCCACAATTGACCGGACACGCACATATATTAAGAAAAGTAAAATTGTATGGTTAAAAGTGGTGCAAAGGAGAGAGGAAGAATAATAGCCACAGAAACTTTTTCAAAAGTGGAAAGTGGAACTTTTTCTGGGACGGATAAAAAAGAAAATATGGAACATTATTGCGGGACAGTGGGAGTATTATCTGAGAATGATAAATCATGTTTTCTCATTGAAAGAAGCTTTTCATCCAATAATTCTTAAGAAATTTGAAATGTTATATGTTACTTGTTTGATTAAGGCAGCCTTACTTTTCTGGCCATTTTTTTTTTGAAGGTTGTGATTACCAAGTGCTATCATCTATTCTGCAATCAATGTATCCAGCGAAATGTAGAGCTCCGCCACCGGAAGTGCCCTGGTTGTGGAACTGCATTTGGGCAAAATGACGTGAAGCTTGTGAAAATCTGAACCAACTGTTGTGCATATAACACTGCATCAGGTCAGTTAAGCCGTATATACACCAGCAGTCCACAACCTCTTTTGAAAAAAATCCAAACTTAAGCTTGACATTTCCATGCATCGTTGCACCCACAAGACATCTGTCTATTTCTTCTCCTTTGTTTTTCGTTGGTTTAGTTTGTCCCCCGAATTGGGGAAAAAAAGATGAAAAAGAAAAATGAGAGAATCCAAAGGTGCAGGTGAGATGGTTGTAGCTTTTATTTAGGATTGTTTATGAACGTAAGGCCGTGATTGCGTTTGGTGTAAAATTAGACACCATAAATCTTTGGTGCTTCTGTCGATTTGTTCTGTTTTTAACATATGGGAATGATGTATTTGTATGGTTTTTACTGTTTTGGTTTACAAGTGTTATACACAAAAGTGACACGACTAGTTAAAAAAATGGAGGGAGTAGTTGATAAAATACTCTTTTCGTTCCGGAGTGTCTACTTTCGTTTTAGCACAGAAACTAAAATACTATTTTCGTAAAATCCTTCACCACCCATTCCTTTTTCCTTCATTTCATCACTCTTATTTTCAAGATTAAAACACAAATAGTAAATTCCCAAAATAGTCATTTGTAATAAAAGGTTTTCCCAAATTAGTCCTCAATAAATTTTAATTACCTACGTGGTCCTCTATAATTGAAATTTATTCCCAAAATAGTCCTTTGTAATAAGGTGTTTTTCCAAATTAGTCCTTAATAAGTTTTAATTACCTATGTGGTCCTCTATAATTAAGATTTATTTTTAAGATGGTCCTTCGTAAATAATGTTACTCAAATGAGGATTAATTAAGAGTATTTTTTCTCTATTAAATTTAGAATTAATTCTTAATAATGAAGTGCTTTTCCAAAATGGTTTTCCTAATTAAAGATGTGTATTTGATTTGAAATTAAAAAGATTTTTTTTAAGTTTTAAATAATTCATCAATTATTTATGAGTAAATTCTCAAAATGGTTCTTTGTAATAAGATATTTTTCCAAATCAGTCCTCAAATGAGGATTAATTGGGAGATATTTTAGTATTTTGATTATCTAAATTTAAAGTATGTTTTCGAAACAATCATTTCTGTACAACTAAATGTAAAATTTAAAAAATACATTAACTATAAATAATTTATGAATTATTTAAAACTTAAAAAAATCTTTTAAATTTCAAATCAAATACACATCTTTGATTCGAAAAATCATTTTGGGAAAGCACTTTATTATAAATGATTATTTTAAGAATTAATTCTAAATTTAGTGGATACAAAATACCCTTAATTAATCCTTATTTGAGTAATATTATTTACGAAGGACCATTTTGGGAATAAATCTCAATTATAAAGGACCACATAGGTAATTAAAACTTATTGAGGACTGATTTGGGAAATCACCTTATTACAAAGGACTATTTTGAGAATAAATCTCAATTATAGAGGACCACACAGGTAATTAAAACTTATTGAAGACTAATTTGGAAAAACCCCTTATTACAAAGGACTATTTTAGGAATTTACTCAAAAACAAAACCCAGAAATAAATAAAAAAGTAAAGAAGCAAATGAGAAAAAGTAGTTGTAGCTTTGGCTCAGCAGCACGAGGAGATCAGAGAGGGAAAACGTGCGCGCGAGAGAGAGATTTGAATTTAAAGCTGAGAGATATATCTATATCTCGAATGGGGCGATGGTGTAATAATTGGAGCTGTGGAATTCAGAGTTTGTTCTCTGGAATGTTTTTTTTAATAAAAAAATCACAACAATATTCTGACAAATTTCTGATTTAGATGAAAAAAATTACCATAAATAAGAATAAAACATACAAAAAGTATTAAAATAAGAGTTTTGTGTTTTTATTTTCTAAATGCGAGTTTGCACTGTAGTAATATGGTCTTGTACATGGACATTTTATTATACTTTTTGATAAGTTACATGATCATAATTGGTAACGTAAATACGTTTTAAGTCTTATTTCGAAAATAAAAATATGAAACTCTTATTTTACTTTTACTTTAGACTTTTTCTTTTGCAAAAATTCTTTGAAAATCAATTAATTATACTACTACTTCTAAAATTGCCCCTTTTTATTTTTTACAGAAATACTCCATCCACCACATTGCACAATAAAACCGTGTAATATCTAAATGCACTTTTCAAGTGATGATTTGAAAACAAATACCTTTTTGTTTTTATTAAAAAAATAAATTAAGCTGCAGATGCAGACGAACCGTATGGGAAGAACCGTACAACCGGCGAAAATTAAGCTGCAGATGCAGACGATCGAAGAAGGCGCGGCAGATGCAGACGATCGAAGAAGGCCGGCGAAGGAGAGGCGACGACAAAGGGAGGCGCGCGGAGGAGGCCAAAACGATGGAGAATGGCAAGATGAGGGCGGCAGCTTTACAGTATAAACCCTAGTTGAGACTTAAGAAGTTGAAGAGATGGGATTGGAATGAATCGGATAGAAGAAGATCTGACTAAAGATCCGGCTTTACAGTAGAAACCCTAGCGATGAAGAAGCTGGTACTGAAATTTTCAATTGTGAAAGAATTGAACAATACTTTATTTCAAAATGAGCATTTCCTTATTTAAGAATGAGTATTGTTTTTTTAAGAATGAACAATACGCTATTTATTATAATTATATTAGAAAAATTTGTAAAAATGAGTACTTCTTTATTTTAAAATGAGTACTTCCTTTGACAGAATGAATACTATGTATTTCGAAATGAATATTTATATTTGTATGAAAATGAGTACTACTTTATTTCAGAATGAGTACTACGGGGTAGATCGAGATGTACCCTGTACAATTGAAGGGTGGATAGACACTAGAGAATAGAGATAGCCTCACAGGCCATAGCCTTTACCAAAAGAAAATCATATGCAAGATTTGAAGAAAGAAATGCGGACTTTGATTTCCCGTTTTACTGCTGGTCAGCGGCGTTAGGGCTCAAGGAGGCCAGCGACCAGAGGGTTACAGCGAGGAGACGAACCAGTGCAACACGATTGAAGGAGGCTTTTCGAACAATTGTAACCAATTTGTCGTTCTCCAGGTCTTCGTCGTTAGTGGTGAGTGGAATAATTTCCCCATCCTGTATTCTTGAGTTTGGGTCGAAATGGCGTCTTACATGGGTACTGCCGGCGATATCTTTGCGGGTTGGACTATTTCCGGTGTGACTATTTGCCGTCGATATCTTTTCCGGTGGGATGGTTGACAATAGTTTTTCTGACGGGACAGATGCAAGGGAGCCACTGGCCGGGTTTGGGCCAAAGGGGGAAGGAATCTAGACGGCTCCTGTTCTCCTGTCGGCATAGCCGCAATTTCCGTCCAGAGTTGGGAACTGGAGGGAGGGGGGGGGGGGTTGGGGTGAAAAAACATATTAATCCCTGTTCCCATGGTCAAATGCGGAACTTTTTTGTAAAACCAGATCCTTAACAGCCATGCTCTTTAGTTTTTGATAATCTCCTTGTAAACAAAGCAATATCTTTTATGGAGTATTGTTTGTGTTAGAATAGATTTTCAGTGCTTCCTTTCTTCACTATTACATTGACATAGGAATATGATAGACTAACTTTGTGGAGGGGGCTATAATTCTTTTTCCATGCTTCACCATTCTTCTTCGGTGCTTGCCTACATACCTTGACATGTTTTAGATACAAAAATCATAGACACAGCATTCTACTAACATTAACCATACTAGATACCCGGAGTAATAGTTCAATTTGTGATTCGGTAAAGTAACTTATTTTCTAAGAATATATGTGTTTCAGCTTGAAGCCTAGAAGCAGTGCTTCTTTGAAGTCTAAGATGAATATAAATGGTGATGATGCACCCCATAATATTCAGAGCACTAAAGCTCCACCAAGTGCTGCAAAGGTTTCCATACTCGCCAACAAGTCTGGGTTTGTGATTCCTAGAAACAAGTTGTCAGGCTCTCTGGTTCCTGTATTTCGAGGAGGCAAAAAGGAAGGTACGCAGTCAGTAAACGATGACATAAGTAAACTGGTGCAAAGAAAAACCAAGTGGGGTCCTGATCTTACACAAGATACAACTGTTAGGAAAGGAAGAGTATTAGCATATCAGGTATTGGGACCATGCATTTGAGTTCTTTCATTCCTTGATTACAATTTGCCGTCATTCTCTGAACTGGAAATAATGAATTAATGAGTTTCCTTCTGTAGGCGTATGTATCATTTTATATACAGGTAAAAGATTTTGGTGCTTCATTTTGAATCCTTATCTTTTCCATTCAAGTAGTGTTAGTTTAACCATTGGAGCACTAATTTTCATTCAAATTAATAATAATTTATGAAAAATCCTGTTACAAGTCATGAACTAGTTCTTAGACATGGATCGAAATTTTATAGCCCTGGTTTTTGGGAAGAATATTTTTGTTGCTCAGTGGCAAATAAAAAATTCTCATAGGGTGCTAAGATATCAGTGTCTTTTGTGGGATTGGCTTGTAGAGACTATTCCATACCAGGTGCCAATAAGTGATATTGCTCCATATGTGATGGTGAAAATTTTGAGCAGACTCGTATTGATCAAATAACACAACAGCTAAGCTCAGAACTCATGGATTGGGACAAGAGCCAAGACACATTATCTGCATCTACTATTGAGGATTATACTATTAAAGTTGAGGTAACATAACTTGATTAGCTTCTAAACTTACTGTTTTCAATTTCTACCTGTGTATGGTCTTCAAAGAGTTACATTTTATGAAGTTGCAGAATATAAAAGTTTTGGAACTTGAAAGGCGAGAAGCCATTGGTATGTTGAAACCTAGATCCTTGAGTTAGACTTCGTTTCCCATTTCACTATACTGTGCATAATTATTTGGTATAATATCAGGTGAACTCTTAATACTCAATCCGAACTATAGGCCACCTGCTGGCTACAAACCTGTTCAGAAAGAAGCAAAGATTCCTATTCCTGTGAGTTCAGAAGAATACATGTTACACTTTTTGTTTTGTACACACACACATACATATTTATATGAGCGTAATCTTACACCAAATATTGGTTGGTGCAAGATTACCGTTCCCATATACGGAGTGTGTGTGTGTGTGTATACCTTCAAGTGGTGTAACATCGTGACACCAGTAGTTTTGCGGCACCTACGGTGCTCCGTTCGTAAAATTGATGGTTCTTACCCCCCTAAACTCCCCGACCCATCAATTTCACCCTGTCCCCACCCTAGCCCCCTTGCACCCCAGATCACCAATTTAGAGCCCCCTCAAATCAGCAATCTAGGGGGGGCTAGGGTGGAGGCGGGGTGAAATTGATGGGTTGGGTGGATTAGGGGGTAGGAACCATCAATTTAATGAACGGTGCACTGTAGGTGCC